CTCACAGGGCTAGAAGCTAATGGAGCCAGCCCTCCTTCTACCCAGGAGAACACGGAAGCTTCAAGGCTAGGTACAACACCAGTGCACACCTGCATGTCATCAGCAAAATCATTAAGTGAGCAGACAAGAGCAGCCTGCCATCACGCCTGCTCACTGTCAACAGCGAAGGGGTATTGACAGTGTTGAGACAGGCTGTCAGTGGGGGAAGCTGAGACCGAGTCAACAGCCAGCAGACCACCACCCGGATGGAACGCGTTCTTGAGGAGCTACATCAAAACAAAACATACGGAGGGTCTAACACGGGCGCAGTCCTCCACCCGGCCTGCTCAGACACAAGTGATGCGGGTTCTGTACAAAGCAGGTAGAGCCTTGCATGGCTACACTGGCGAAGAAATGACTTGAAAACTGAGTTTGAACTTAGAATGGAAGTGACTCACAGACATAGAGCACAACCTTATGCTTACCAAAGGCGAAGGGGGAAGAGAGGGATAAATTAGAGGAGTGTGGGATAACAGACACACATTATCGCACATAAACAGATAAACAACGAAGACTACTATCTAGCACAGGAACTATACTCAATATCCTGCACTAACCTATAATGGAAAAAGAAGATCCAAAAAAGAAAATAGAGAGAGAGACTTTTCTGGTGGCTCAGTGGTTAAAAAAATCCCCCCTGTAATGCAGGAGACAATGGTTTCGATCCCTGGGTCAGGAAGACGCCCTATGGAAATGGCAACCCATTCCAGTATTCTTGCCTGGGAAATCCTATGGACAGAGGAACCTGTACATGAATCACTTTGCTGTACATCTGAAACTAACACAACATTGTAAATCAACTGGACCTCAATTTTACAAAAAAAAACAAAACATACGGAGGGTCTAACACGGGCGCAGTCCTCCACCCGGCCTGCTCAGACACAAGTGATGCGGGTTCTGTACAAAGCAGGTAGAGCCTTGCATGGCTACACTGGCGAAGAAATGACTTGAAAACTGAGTTTGAACTTAGAATGGAAGTGACTCACAGACATAGAGCACAACCTTATGCTTACCAAAGGCGAAGGGGGAAGAGAGGGATAAATTAGAGGAGTGTGGGATAACAGACACACATTATCGCACATAAACAGATAAACAACGAAGACCTACTATCTAGCACAGGAACTATACTCAATATCCTGCACTAACCTATAATGGAAAAAGAAGATCCAAAAAAGAAAATAGAGAGAGAGACTTTCCTGGTGGCTCAGTGGTTAAAAAAATCCCCCCTGTAATGCAAGAGACAATGGTTTCGATCCCTGGGTCAGGAAGACGCCCTATGGAAACAGCAACCCATTCCAGTATTCTTGCCTGGGAAATCCTATGGACAGAGGAACCTGTACATGAATCACTTTGCTGTACATCTGAAACTAACACAACGTTGTAAATCAACTGGACCTCAATTTTACAAAAAATACTGTAAGTATCTATTTTGTAAGGGATAACTGAATCTCAGTCCTCTAAGATAAATAGAAGACACTAAAAAGCCGTTTCGTACCCTTGCTTAAAAGATCAGCCCATTTCTTTTCATTGAGAACATAAGAATGTGCAGCATTTTGGGAAGACGCCAAGTCTAACTCATAGGGAGATTGTATTAATTATGTGGCATATATTTAAGGAATTAATCCCAATGAAACACCAACATTCTTATTGACATCAGTGACTTGGTAGATAATAGAATGAGAAATATAAGTTCATAGCATCTGAGGATTCAAGTTGTGTGAAAGAAGTAAGGAAAAAACAATTTATTTTAAAATCTGGGCAAAGTATGAGACGAGAAAGTGACACAGAGAGAAAGAGAGACAGACACAAGAGGAGGGAGTGTGTGTGTGTGTGTGTGTGTGTGTGTATGTGCATGTGTGTGTGTGTATGTGCACGTGCATGCGCATACATACACACACATGTTTCATCTGTTCCTGAAATTTGCTCCATGTTCACTCAGAGTTCCAATTGCTTGGGAGGATCCATAGTAGATGCGTCTATTCCGGGCCTCATGGTTCCCTTCTCCATTGTTTGGAATTAGACTCCACCAGGGATGGAGGAAAACTTTTAAATACAATTAAACTATCAAGATGTATAGTGAATGAGTCAAAGGCCTGGACCAGCCTGGCCTGAGACAATAGAATCAGAGGCAGATCATAAATCTCCAGCTGCCTTAGAGTGGTTGCCACAATGCCAAATGTGGCCTTGTTTTCAACAGCATCCCTGACGGGTAATGGATGAGCCAGACTGACCTCAAAACAGGTGGGAATATTCCAAGGAATATCAGCAAGAAGCTTGATGAAAGAGCCCCAGCAATTAAGTCCATGGGAAAGGCTTCATCCAAGTCATAAAAGACTCTATAGACATCTTTCCATTTGACAAGTTGAAAAAAGGCAGGCCATAGTTGAACTGGTAACCTCAAAGTCTTCTCCATAAGTTCATGAGATACTGTATTATTATTAGAACGAAAACTTGACCTTTGCTTTTTCTCAAAAAATTGGGTGAATAGGTGTCTATTATCTGAACTCTAGTCAATCACAGATTGCTCTCACTTAACTCCATCACCACGATTCACAAAGTTGTTATCGATCATCATCTTTCAAAGAAGAAGAGAGATGACTTACGCTGATGTGATCTGTTTGATGTCTGGAGAAAGGTTAAGTTAAATAACCCCAGAGGCCATGGGGATGATTCCTGGAACCCTGTCCTGGCTCTCCGCCCCCTCTTTTCTTCCCCTCCCCTACCCACCTCCCTCCCTCCCTTCCTCGGTTACCCTCCTCCCCTCCACTTCCCTCTCTTCTTCCCTCTCTCCTTCCTTTCCTTCTCTTTTCCATCTCTCCCCCACTTTCCTCTCAATCACATCCAGTCACCCAGTCCTCCCCTTCCCAGCTCATTTGCCCTAAATTCTAACTACCTACCACACTCCTATGGGCACCACTTTGGGTCTCTGGTACCACTCAGGGCTCAAGGTATGACTGAGCATTTAACAGCCCCACATTTCCTCTTGTAGAGCGATCCACCTGCCCTGGGACCAGAAGCTCATGCTTTCTGCAGGGCTGCTCATCTGAGATGGGGCTAAGGAAGGATGGGAGTGACCATCCTAGACTCTGACCTCATCCACATGGAAATGGTAGGAAAACACTGAAAGAAGGATAGGTCAAGCTGCTAAAGTTAAGAAGAATGTTTAATAAACACAAGCGGGCTATGTTGATTTTTTTTTTTCCCCCTGAAATGAGAAATCCATTTCCATCTCAAACTCAGTCTGAAAGCCACTTTTCTTGTCAAAAATAAAAACAATATCAGATGCCCATTTTTATCACTTCTGTAGTGAACAGAATACACTGCAGAGGGCAAAATACAGAGGCAGCTGGCCAGGCCAACAAGGGAGAGCTCTGAGTAGAGAAACATAGATGTGATGGAGCTGTAGCATCATGCAATTAGAGGAAAAAATAACTGATGTCAAGCTTTTAGCAGAATAGTTGTTAGAAGCAGCTGACTCTTTCAACACTACTGATAAGGTTCAGTTCAGTCACTCAGTCGTGTCTGACCCTTTGCAACCCCATGGACTGCAGCACTCCAGGCCTCCCCGTCCATCACCAACTTCTGGAGCTTACTCAAACTCATCTCCATGGAGTCGGTGATGCCATCCAACCATCTCATCCTCTCTCATCCCCTTCTCCTCCCGCCTTCAATCTTTCCCAGCATCAGGGTCTTTTCCAATGAGTCAGTTCTTTGCATCAGGTGGCTAAAGTATTGGAGCTTCAGCTTCAACATCAGTCCTTCCAATGAACACCCAGGACTGATCTCCTTTAGGANGTAAGACCCTGATGCTGGGAAAGATTGAAGGCAGGAGGAGAAGGGGATGACAGAGGACCAGATGGTTGGATGGCATCACTGACTCAATGGACATCAGTTTGAGCAAGCTCCGGGAGATGGAGAAGGATAGGGAAGCCTGGCATGCTGCAGTCCATGGGGTTGCAAAGAGTTGGACATGATTGAGCGACTTAACAACAACAACAACCTGATTTGACACACGGTCTTGGGCAAATTACCTGACCTCACTGAGTCTCAGTTTCCTCTTTAGTCAAGCAAAGCTGACTTCTGGGACTCTACAGGACTGGGGGTTGTGATGGATGTAAGTGGCTGGAGCTCCTGGAGCTCAGCAAATGTCCACTCGTACCCATTCCCCCCTCAGAGGGAGAAGCAAGGACAAAGGTGGGGGTGGGCCATGCACAGTCCGCTGGGGGGCAGCACACAGCTCAGCCAGGACAGGGCCCCAGGGGTCCCATGGGAGGAGGGCAAAAGCTCTACATCCAAGTGTACCCGGTGAGGGGTGGGGCGGCGAGGGAAAGCACAGAGAATCTCAGACCGAGGAGGGCGCTGTGCTGGGGCGTGACTGGGGCTGGAGACCCAGGAGGACCCCGCTTCAGGATCATGGGTGGAAGATGAGGTCAGGGAGTGGGAATGGAGAGCAGAGGACGGAGCCAGTGGGGTTGACAACTGTTTTGTGCTCAGTCGTGTCTGACTGTGCGACCCCATGCACTGTAGCCCGCCAGGCTCCTCTATTCATGGGATTTTCCAAGCAAGAATACTGGAGTGGGTTGCCATTTCCTTCTCCAGGGGATCTTCTCAACTCAGGGGTTGAACCCAGATCTCCTGCACTGCAGGCAGATTCTTTACCCTCTGAGTCATAAGGAAAAGGTAAATATAAACGTGTAGAGAGAATTCCCCTGGGAGGTGTGTGGGTGTGTGGAAATACAGCACTGGAGCAGCCAAGCAGTTAGCAGCGTTGTGGTCCCTGGAAGGGCAACCCAGGACATCCCAGTGATCAGCGCTAAGATGCTCTGGGAGCAGCCAACAAGAGGTCAAGAGAGGAACTCAGAAATTCAGTATGATAAAAGAAAACTGAAACTTAGGGAGGTGCATCACAGGATGAAAGCACAATCAAGAAGGCTGGATAATTTAATTGGGTAGTTACTCACATGTTAAACGTTCTCATTCGCACTGGTAGGAGTTAGTCATGAGTAGAGTATTTTTAAATAAAGCCTGTAATAGATTCAAAAGGGAATATTTAATGTGGTTTTGGATAGTTAGCATGTAATAATTTTCTTTCTGCCTGGTAATCCCTTGGGTAATGGATGTTAACAAAAACAACCCCCAAAGATATATAATCTGCAAACATCAGTAATTGATGTTTGTGATCTGTGAACACAGTGTTAGGATAGACTGAAAAGAACACATCTAAAAAAAAAAATGCTTCCAATGCTTGCAACTCTTTAATAGAAATGTTCTAAGTAAGAAAGACAATCTCTTTGTACTTATTTGGTAAGGAAAACTGAAATGCAAAGTGTCAATGAAAGCATGGATATTGGATAAGCAGAAAAGCTGAGTGTCTAGAGTAAAGATGTGTTTCTTGCATGAATAACTTCTGAACAATCTGCTGAAGGAGTGATTTTGTATCAAGCTGAAACCCCAAACCAGCATCATTTTAATTTGCCAAGCACCTGTGAAGGAATACAGCTGCAAGGCCATGGGAAAACAATAGGAACTGTGACAGTTCATTAATATAAACCAGCAACTAGATTTATTTGGAAAAGTCATTGATATAGAATTACCCTGGAGGATGCAATGACATTCCTGAAGCAGGCCAGCAAGCAGCTAACTAAGATTATAGATGTGTGCACATCATTTGAAACCAAACAGTAATTTGGTAACTATTACGATTTATTGTGTATGTCAAAGAGAATAACAAATGTGCAAAAAGCCATGATTGCTTCAGGAAAGTTAGATTTGCCTTGTATTCAGTTATTTGGCTTTTTCCATGCAAGGTTGTTTTTGTTCTGGAAAATCAAGATAATGGCGTTGCCCCTAGAATGATTACTTGTGTGAACATAGGCATAGAAGGAAAATATCAAACTACACATTCTCGTCTAACGACTCACATTCTCGTCTAACGACTCTTGAGCCTCAATATAATGCTGATAAGAACCTAAAGAAGTTGCTTATTGCAATCAAGTCATCGCAGTCCTACGTGGATGGTGACTGCAAATATTTCAGGTATGGTAACTCATAAGCAATCCAGCTCGCATAAAATGAAAGATATCAGCAGATCTGGAGGCAGAGAAATGGATCTGCTAACCACTCACTTTTATTGCAAACAGTGAAATGTAACCCTAGAAAAGGGGAGGAAAGCAAGATTCTTCTTTCATATCCTGGAAGCATCTGGGAAAATCTCAGTATCTGGCACAAAGGCAGTAAGTCCATCCACTGAACTTGTTCCCAGACCTGAGACAGGCAACATTAGCCAATAATGTGGGTGCAAATGAAAAGAACGTCCCCACACCTCTAGCATTTCCTCTTTAAATGCAGAAGAAACTCCATAATCCTCCAGCTAATTTCCTTAGATGGTTTTCTTAATCCTTTCACTGTTACAATCATTGGAAACTGATTGACTTGAACTGCTGGTCGTAAAGAGTTAAAGTTTATGGCAACCACTGAGGACTTAATGAGTTCATAGTGATGACTAAGGAAATTTCAACAAACCACCAACCACTGAGTCCCAAGACCATCTTTATGAGTCCCCTGTAAAGGTGGTCATGGTACACTGGGGTTGGAAAGAGACATGGAACTTGTACAAGGCACATGTATGTGTATCATCTGCCACCGACAGGTAAGGAGTTTACAGACCAACAGCATCTTGCTGGCCCTAAGTCCTGTCTTCAATCTTGAGATACTAAAGCTTTTTTATTTTTTTTTAAATCCTGAAAAAAAATAGAAACAATCTCAAATCCAGGAAAGATCTGATTTAAAACAGAAAAACTTGGGGTTGGGGAGGGGAAACCCATTCAGAGATGATTTAAATGTATGAGGCTCATTTAAAATTTCAGGAATTGAAAATGGATTAAATTATTTGTTCTAAGTGGGTCTTCATTTTAGAATTACTTTCAAATCCTCTGATTCTAAAAAGACTCTTTGAGTGTTTGGAGTTGCAAAGTACATTACATGATGGGAGAACGTCCAAGGACTGGTTCTCATTTTGTGAAATTCTCTAATGAAACTGCTCAAAAAATACAACCTCCCAAACTAACACCAGCATTTGTTTGTTGTTGTTTGGTTGGCTTTCACATCATGAATGAAAAACCTTCTGAAAATAGGAAGCAATTACAAAATTCTCCAGGTTCCCCTGTAACAATAGTGCTGAAACACTCAAAACAAAGGCAAAGAACTTAAAAAGTAAGTGTAAGATGCTGAATTTCCTAGAAGACACATGTGGACTTGGGCCTTCCAAACAAGTCAACATGGCACCCATGTGGATTGTAGCAACTGCTCTAGTTTTTGCTAGTTCACCCCCACACCTTTTGTGGGGGCAAGCATTGTGTCTGGCTCATGTGAAAACAAAAGCCCAAAAAAAAAAACCCCCCCCTCTCACAGTCATTGTTGCCAAGTGTTTGGAGGAAAGAAAACACAAGTTGAAATCTAGAAACTTGGAAAACAAATTTGGTATGGACATATTCCATTTAGTTATTACTTGTAAATTTTTTGACAACATTTAAAAGTTGGAACTTCTGCACTAAAAACTGGATTTCCAGGGACTTCCCTGGTGGTCCAGTGGCTAAGACTCAGAGGTCCCAATGCAGGGGTCCCAGGTTCAATCCTTGATCAGGGAACTAAGATCCCACATGCTGCAACAAAAGACCCTGCATGTTGCAATTAATTAAGTAAGTAAGTAATTATTTACTTGGCTGGTCTTTACCAACCAAGTAAATAAATATTTTTTAAAAGCTGGATTTACAGAACCTACTGTACAGCACAGGGAACTCTACTCAATGATGTGTGGTGATTTAAATGGGAAGGAAGTCCAAAAAATGGGGGATATATGTATACATCAGGCTGATTCACTTTACGGTACAGTAGAAACTAGGACAGCGTTGTAAAGCAACTGTACTCCAATAAAAACTAATTAACAAACAGATTTCCAGCTTTTCTTGAAAAATTAGAAGATTCGATGCATGCATGCTAAGCCACTTCAGTCATGTCCAACTCTTTGCAACTCTACAGACTGTAGCCTGCCAGGCTCCCCTGTTCATGGGATTCTCCAGGCAAGAATACTGAAGTGGGTTGCCATGCCTTTCTCCAGGGAAAAGACCCTGCATGTTGCAATTAATTAAGTAAGTAAGTAATTATTTACTTGGCTGGTCTTTACCAACCAAGTAAATAAATATTTTTTAAAAGCTGGATTTACAGAACCTACTGTACAGCACAGGGAACTCTACTCAATGATGTGTGGTGATTTAAATGGGAAGGAAGTCCAAAAAATGGGGGATATATGTATACATCAGGCTGATTCACTTTACGGTACAGTAGAAACTAGGACAGCGTTGTAAAGCAACTGTACTCCAATAAAAACTAATTAACAAACAGATTTCCAGCTTTTCTTGAAAAATTAGAAGATTTGATGCATGCATGCTAAGCCACTTCAGTCATGTCCAACTCTTTGCAACTCTACAGACTGTAGCCTGCCAGGCTCCCCTGTTCATGGGATTCTCCAGGCAAGAATACTGAAGTGGGTTGCCATGCCCTTCTCCAGGGGATCTTCCCAACCCAGGGATCAAACCCACATCTCTGTGTCCCCTGCATCAGCAGGCAGGTTCTTTACCACTAGCACCACCTCAGGATTGTATACTTGAGCCCAACTCTTTCCTCCAACCTTATCATGTGAGGGGAGGGCACTTCTGCTCAGGCAGGGTAGCAGCTCTCTACTAATCTTTCCAGACTGTGTGACTGCTGATTCCAGCTATTCACATGTGCTACTGGGTCAGGAATAATCAGTGAAGTTTATCCCAACCCTCAGGTATCCAAAGACGGCCCAGTGCCCTAAGTAAATGCAGCCACATAATTGCAGGACCCCAATGCAAAATGTAAATGCTTCTTATTCAAAAATTATTAAGAATTTCAAGAGGACAACAGAGCATTAAAGCAAATGGAATGGATGCTTTTAAAATTTTGAACTCTTGAGAGTCCCTTGGGCTGCAAGAAGATCCAACCAGTCAATCCTAAAGAAAATCAGTCCTGAATATTCATTGGAAGGACTGATGCTGAATCTGAAACTCCAATACTTTGTATTGGATGTGTATTTGCCACCTTATTTGAAGAACTGACTCACTGGAAAAGACCCTGATGCTGGGCAAGATTGAAGGCAGGAGGAAAAGGGGACGACAGAGGATGAGATGGCTGGATGGCATCACCGACTCTATGGACATGAGTCTGAGCAAGCTCCGGGAGTTGGTGACGGACAGGGAGGCCTGGCGTGCTGCGGTCCACGGGGTGGCAAAGGGTGGGACATGACTGAGCGCCTGATGGGTCTTCCCTGGTGGCTCAGCAGCAAAGAACTCCCTGCCAATGTAGGAAATGAGGGTTTGATCCTTGGATCAAGAAGAGGCCCTGGAGAAGGAAATGGCAACCCACTCCAGTATTCTTGCCTGGAAAATTCCATGGACAGAAGGAACCGGATGGACTGTACAGTCCATAGCGTCACGAAACAGTCGGACACAACTTAGCGACTAAACAACAACATATTTCCACTAAGATTCCTGTTTCCTCTCGCTCTTGCCGGCATCATTTTTAGAAATATTTTTCAATTTTCAGCAAGTTGTATTATCTGCACTTCTTTAAGTAAGATATATACTAATATGCAGGGGTAGTCTTCTGTTGTATGTAGTTTGGAAAGAAGCAGATAAAGGAGACCAGAAAAATCTGGTAAAATTACCAGCTTCCTTAGCACTGAATGAATTCTCCATGAACTACTGAAGGGATCCGGGTATTGAACGCCGCCACACTTGTGGGGTGGCTGTCCCTGGAGCCTAGAGAATCCCTCCTCCTCCTCTCCTATCAACATCCCACACACTCTTCACTCACGGACCTGCTCAGAGGCCATTTTCCTCCAGAAGGCGTTCCCCATCCCTCTTCCCCAGCCTGCATCTCACCCAGGCAGGATTAACCACCCCTTTTCAGCATTCTCACAACATGTCACCAGTCACCCTATCTGGTCTGATTTACCCTGCATTGAGGTCCGGCCAGTTGGGAGTATGCCTGACCCTTCCACATGACTATCTGATCCTTGTATGTTGGAAGAAGGTCATATCTTGTAAAGCCTCCATACAGGAATGCCGTCAAATGATGACATGGTTTGGCATTTGAGGCCAGAGGGAGCCGAGCTCCCTGCAGAGAGCCTAGCTGACTAACACGCCCTCAAGCTCCCCCTCCAGTCTTTCAAGAGCATCCACCCTGGAAGACTCTGCCCACACTCTGAGATAAGCAGAATAAATACANTAAATGAGGAATCTGTGGCTCAGGGCAGGGAAACGGTTCCTCCAAAATCACACAGCCTTTAGGCGCTGACGCATGAATTTGAAGGCAGGTGTTCAAAGCCAGCTTTCCACACTGGCTTGCTAAGAGGCAGTGTCACGTGGCGGTTGGATACTGGCTTGTAGAACCTGGCTACCTGAGTTTGAATCTTGACCCTGCTACATGCTAGCTGTGTGACTTTGGATAAGTTACTTAACTTCTCTGTGCCTCATTCTTTATCTGTGTGTGGGGTTAATTATAGCCTCTATTTCATAGAGTTGGGGAAATAAAATATTCATGTGTATATATGTATTTCTGTGTACACTTGGGTCAATTTCTATACCTATTAACAATTTTATGTCCATGATAACTGCTGTCTCTGAAACTAGACAAAGGAGACCTGAACAATTACCCAATGACTCAAAAATTACATGTAAGGAAGAGGAGAAAGATATGAGAACACTGTTTACTTGTTTTACTGTCTTTGTTTTTTTCTTCTGTTTTTCCTTTTTCTGGAAGTACATCTATCTCCCTTTTTGCCTTGTGAATAGACTTCTTTTGACTTTCCACTCTAGAGTGCTCTTTACACTGAAAAAAAAAAATGTTAACATATACAGTAATGTGTATAAAATAGATAACTCATGAGAACCTGCTGTATCACACAGGGAACTCTGTTCAATGCTCAACAGTGACCTAAGTGGGAAGGAAATCTAAAAAAGAGGGGATATATGTATATTATAACTAATTCCCTTCGCTGGACAGCAGAAACTCACACAACACTGTAAAGTAATTATACCCCAGTTTAAAAAATGTTACAACAAACTGAAATGTAATTATTTACTCATTCACATACCTTTCTCCTTTATCTCCCTTCCTCACATTCACATATATAAAGACACATAAAGGCACACACACATGCACGCACACATACACACACTTGCCTTTTGTTGGCATCTGAGCTTAGGCTATTCCACTCCCACAAGGGTGTGTGTATGTGTGTGTGTGAGACCGAAAATAATTCCTCACTTGTTTTTCACCCATGCAGTAGCTTGCCTTTCAAGAAATTAAACATCTGTCTCACTCACAAACTCCTCCACTCTCAGGGTTGGGAGGGATCATAAAAGTTACCTAGTCGAACCACCGTTCTGATGTTTGACTCACCTCTTACAATGTCGTGGCTAAGAGACAAAATAGCCTATTTGTGAGTATTCCTAATGACAGGAAGCTCACTACTTCCTCAGGCAGCCAGTACCCTTCTTCCCATCTTGTTAAATTCCATAGTCAAAGATAGCACTGATCCTAAAAAATAACTTTTCTAAAGAATCTGAAAAAGAATAGATATATGTATATGTTTAGCTGAAGAAAAAAATAACTTTTATAAAAGGCAATTTAGCAATATGAATTAATATTAAAAATGTGCATACTGACTCAGAAATCTCACTTGTGGGAATTTATCCAAGAGATTTTTGTTCAGCAGATAATCTTCTAATTATGAATGGAAGTGATGGGTACATAAGCAGAAGAAATGAGTATCACTTGGGTTCTTGAAAGACAAGATACATTTTCATTTGCACTCAACAAGTGTCTTATCCCTTCTCCTTGCTAGAGTTAATCCCTTAGTACCTTGGATCTCATCCTTTTTAGCACCATGAGATCCTTTTTCTTTCAACACCAGGTACTCTCTTTGCCCCAATCTCACTCATTGTTCTACTTCTGTACACTGTTGTTCAAAGGTGTTGCTCGCCCGCTCCGGCCTTGACCCACCCCGCTCACTTGTAACCCTGAAGAGCACGGGTGAAAGCCAAGGTCAAGCTGCATCAGGAGAAAGAATACACTTGCCATGAGCTCAAGTCATCCACCGTCTCACAGAGTACCCAGGTTTTACCATGGACTAGCACTGCTTTCGTCTCTCCATCTATAAAAAGCTCCACATGCAGGAGTTCGCAGCTTGAGCAATGGAAACAAGGAATGTTTGTTGAAACCAATTAGTTGGCAGTTGTTTAATAGCACATCTGCCTAAGGCAGCATTAATGACTGAGGCAAACAAAACTTGACCAAAATTTTTTAATGAAGATCTAGAAAATAATATGTTCATAAGATGCTTTGCAAAGCCCTAACATATCCGTGAGAATCAATATGCAATACGAGTATCCAAGACTGTGTATATGTCCAGGGCTGTGTGGTGCCCACAAAAGGCTTGACACAGCCTAAACTCTCACCTCTTGCTAACCTTGAGGCTCTGTGCAAGCTGGAAGTAAAGGCTCAGGCAGAGTTGTAAACTGCCTGCCTGAACATTATAAGGCACGCCCAACACTCATACAGAGCTGCTCAATAAAGTCTGAAAAACTTACTAGAACCAGGCATTTAAGGAATCTCTATACAGACATCAGTTGACTACTAATTTTATCAAGCAGAGACTTCAGTGGCCACAGTGTAAAAGAATATAGACTTAAAAAAATAAAATAAAATAAAAAAGAATACAGACTTACGGAATTAATTCAGGAAACCTACTTTAAAAAGGTAACAAAAACAAACACCAAGAACAAAACATACTGGACTGGGTGTTAATATGATTTCCAGAGTTGCCACAGTATTTTATATATCCAAGTTTCAACAAAAAATTATAAGACATGTAAAGAAATAGGAAAGTATGGCCCATATGCAGGAACTTACATTCAAAGGAAATAATTAAAGAACACTGGTAAAGATAACTGCATAGGTAAATATGAAAAACAATATTGAGATACTTTTTGCTTGCAACTATCTACTATGTGATTTAAAAAACAACTGCATAAAGCAGTAATAATAAATCTATGTTGATAGCATATAATATATAAGAATACAATTCATATTGTATTTGACAATATTGACAATATTAAGTACCATGCTAAACCACCCCTTGTATGACAATGTTAACACAAAGAAGGATGGAGGGAACAGACTCTATACAACTGCAAAGATTTTGTATACTACTGAAATAAAATAGGTATTTACTAATCCAGTATAGACTGTTAACAGATGTTAATCTCCAAGGCGACCAAAACAAGAAACAAGGGAATTAAAATGGTACACTAGAAAATATGCATTTAACATAAGTCAGTAATAAAAGAATAAATTAACAAAAATGCATAATAAAAAAAGAAAATAGCAAAATGGCAGACATAACCCTAACTTATCAATAATTACATTAAATATACATGGATTAAACACTCCAGCCAAAAAGCAGAAACTGGCAAAATTGATTTTTAATAATCAAGCTATATGATACCTATAAGAGACACAATTTAGATTTAAGGACACACATAAATTGAAATATGTGAAACATATTTGAGACATAATTGAGATAAGAAACAGATGATTCAGCAATAATGATTTGAGATTTTAACAGCCCGCATTTAACAACAGATAGAAAAACTATACTAAAGATAATCAAGGAAATAAAAGACTTGGAAAATACTATATATTTATCACTGAAACACCCATACAGAAAAGAATAAAGATCTCAAGTAAATAACCTATGCTTCCCCCTTAAAAGACTAGAAAAAGAAGCGTAAAACCAATCTGCATCATCCAGAACAATTCACACAGTCATTGTTTGTGAAATGGGACTCTATAGCTAAGGAAGATAACTATGCCAGATTTTCCAGATAGGAGGGTTATCTTTGACCTAGAAAATATCTATATTTGTTTCCTGGATGAGAATTCACAGGAATCCCCTAATCAGCAGACTGGGACCAGCTATAGAACCCTGACTCTCACCTGTAGGGTAAGGGAATTAGAGAAAGTGAGTTCGGAGAAAGAATGAGACCTGCACTTTCCAGGAACAGATCATCTTTAATGAGGCAGGAAGGGGCAGCAGTCAGATTAGCAAGCTGCTGCACTAACCCAAGAAAAGAGTAAGTATATATAGGCATATATGTGGAAATCTACTGTCTTAAGGGGGCCTGTTCTTCTCCAAGGTTGTTCGGATTAGTTATCTCTTAAACGGCTGGGGCAAGGAATTCTGGAGATCGGCCAGAGGCTGGGACCAGCTGGGAACTGGGCGTAATCAACCTTAATGTCCACTTTTTTCTCTGGGTGAGACAGTTATTTGTTTTGCATAGAACGGTGGGGAGGACCCAGGGGGAGTTTTAACTCCAGGCTATTTTGACCCGTGTAACTTCCCTTCATCAGCCACCCCAGGAATGCAGACATTGTCACATTGCCCATCATATTAGAGGCCCTGGGGTGGGAAGGCCTAGGTTATCCAAGAGGTCCGGATGTTACTGGGGTCCCTAGGGCTCATCAGAGATGATCATCTTCTACTTCTCAGCCACAGCTGACCCGATAACCAGTCTCCTGGGGAAAGGGAAGAAATTTGTCTATTCCGGGCCAGGTTGCATCTTTTCAGCAGTTGGAATTGTCCACTCTCATTCTCTAATCAATTTATCTAACCAATGCAATCAACCACTCAGCCCAAACCTCCTACTGAACCGAGTTTCCTAGTGGGCGATTGCTGAAGTGAGAAGGAGCAGGTCATAGCTAAAATCCCTAGAGAACTGACTTGCTTCATATGCTGACAAAGCCACGGCTTCACATAGAACTACAACTGCCCTTTCAAAAATCCAATAAATGTGCCTTAGTACTCACATTTCAGAGCGTACTGTGGTTGGAATATGCCTTTGAAATCTATGGTGAAAGGTTTGTGATTGCTGGAGATGATACACTCACTCCATTGTTCCCCTCCCAAGACTGAGCCATTCATGAAAGAGGAGCGGGTAAAGGACATGGGTCTTTCTGCAGAACAGTGCACAGCTCCTCAAAAACTCTGCTCTTGGGACCCTCTCGGAAAGCCCTGAAGGAAAAAAGTCACAATTGGGAGTGAGGTCATGAGCTCATGTCATTCATTACCTGTGCTATTATTACATATTATTGCTTGCAAGTGTGCTGCTGTCCCGGCAAAAAGAAACAGCTTGCTCTCTGCGATGCTGTGTTGTCTTTGAGATGACCTGAGTCATCAAACACCCACAGTCCTAGGGGAGTGCAGATGAGAGTTTGTGGTTGTTGGCTGCTGTTTATTTGAGGTGGAGAGGAGCAGGTAATAGGTTTTGAAAAGTTTGGGGCTGGATGAAAAAAACCGACTCCTCCATCTCTGCGTGCAACACCTTCCCCTTTTACTCTGGAAGACTTTCAGCAACAAACCAATCCTTAGCAATTCTGACTAAATTTATCATTAAAATAGCATGTGAATGAAACAAAAGTAGCACGCCTATTCTCATCGCATGTACTTTTTTTAGGTCCAAGAACAACAAAACGGATCTGCGTGTTTTCCCATAGAAAATACCTGGAAATGGTGGGAAAATTCGGGTGATTTCTTCAAATTATCCAGACAAGGATTTTCATACAGGGATATGACTGACTGGACGTGTATCATCTCTGTCATCTTGCTGCAAGTCTATCTACTCAGGTCTTAGACTTAAAAACCTGTCAAAATTGCCCTGGATTCAAAAGTAAGGTCTCGATTTGTATTTACAACATGCATTGCTTGAACCTATGCACTTGTCCTGATCAGGTCATGCGTGGAAACTCACCTAGTCATGGAGGATGGGTGTGTTTGGCATCACTCACTCTTACCATATGGCAATATTCCATCACATCCTCCTTACTCCTCTGGAAAATAATCCGGGAGGGGCAGGGGCGGAGAAAGAAAACTGTGGATAAGGTTGCCTTTCATAAAGAAAGGCCAGACCAAGAGCCAGCACTTCTTATAACCTATTGCTTGATTCAAATGAAGCACAGAAATATGAAAGAAATTTTAGAATTTTCTTACACAAATTTCAAATAGAAGACTGAATTTTTATGGCAGAAAGGTGTGTAGTAGGCACATTTACCCAAATCCTTTTTTCCTCAAAGGGAAAAATTCCATACGTTTACATTTTATATTTATTACAAAGAACATTTGAAATTACAGATAGATCTTATTTTAAGGAAAACAGCTTATGAAAAAGAAATTTCCATACAAGACAAATTTGATGGATAAAACTGCACTTAACAAAATGGGTTTTCATATTTCAAATTTACCATGGGATTTCTTCTACTGAAAAAGTACAAATAAAAGGCTTGATCTAACAAAAATGGGATTTGTGAAACACAGTATACCACAGCAGTGGAACAGATAATGGTGCCTGACCTCGGTTATCCCTCAGTTTCCTCAATTAAAAGAGAGTTTAGGGTAACAATGCCTAACTCTTAGAATTGTTGGAAGGATTAAATAAGCACATAATTGTAAAGCCCTTAAACAGTACCTGATACACAGGAAGCTCCATATAACGGCTTGTGAAGTGAAGCTCAATTAACACATCTATTTCAGAAATTAGGAAAAACTTGTAAATTACATGAGTTTGTGTTAAGATGTTAACGTGGGAATATATCTTTTATATTCTCAAACCTGCTCCCATATTTCAGTTTTTCAAAAGGTACCTCACTAGCAGTAACAATATTCCTTCTGCACTCCAGGTGATTTCTACTCTAAGCATGTCTGCTATAAGCAATGACAGGTAACACTCCTACAAATATTTATATTTAAGGATTGCAGCATGTTTTCCCATGGCTCCCAGCACAATGGTGCTTGCTTTAGTGACAACACAGAGTTGGATTCGTTTATTTTGTTTGCAAGCCGGGCTTCCTTGTCTGTCCAACCACTTCCTCAACCTTTCCCATCATTACTTGAAACATAAGGATGGAAGGGAGGGGCAGGGAAAGAAAAGAAGAAGGGAAACCAAACACATAGTTTCCAATAAATTGGTATTAGCACTGGATTAAATATTACCATGACCAGAAAAATAAAATTTAAGCAAATACGTTTTATTTATTTAAATAACATATCTCCGGAACTCATTTTTTTTTTCCCGGCGAGGCTTTACTGGGTCCACTGCTACATCCTGGAGATGGAGGTGGGGTAGGGTGGAGAACAAACAACAGTTTCCCTAGGTTGCTCAACCCCTGGGGGTTGGGCAGTGTGCGTGTTCCTTACATAGGGTGAAGGTAGGGGTGGGCTCAAGGGTTGGGCCAGAGGGGTGGCTTAGGCGGTTTGCCCACCCCTTAGGTGAGTTGCATGCCTGGGCACAAGCAGGACCAGGCCTTTGCTCCAGGTTCTTCAAAAGTGGCAGTGGGGTTTTTGGTCTTTTTTGTATCTTTGGCCCAGAATGTGCCCTCACTGCTGCAAGCAGGCAGTTATTTTTAATCCCATATAGTTTCTTTGTACTTCGTTGCTGGAGGAGAGCTGGATCCACCTGGAATTCATTCTGAGACACCAAAGGAATCCAGTCCTCAGTCTGACCCCGGGACGCCCTTCAGGACCTGGGTGGATCATGAGGGCAAGTGTGAAGCATTTGCTTGAGGGGTTCAACTTGTCTTTTCTCCTTGTAAGAAGACTTTGTGGTCCTGTTGTTCGGATTTCCTTTTTCTTGGGGAGACAGACCAAAAAAAATGCCTATCTTCATGTGTTCATTCATGAGAGGGTTAAGACTTGTCCTGCAAAAACTGACCTGTTTCCAAAGTGAACAAAGTGACCAAAATTTAGGAACTTATCTTGAAAAACAAATTAGAAATTTAGTTTCTATACTATACTCTGCATGTAGAAATTATAATATAAAAATTCCCTTTCTAAACATAGGGTTGCTGGAATTGGACAGGGAAGGTTTCATTTCTGTACTCATCTAAATAACGGCTCTTATGTCCAACTTCTATTTATCTTCATCTAGGCTTTTCCCCATCCCTTTGGGCTTCATCCCTTTGGGCTTAACAAACTCATTCTTGTTACCTCTCACATAATCATTTTTGCATTTTGGTCCTGTTGTTGTTTGACTGCTTTTTTTAACCATATTTCCAAGCCAATGTTTTATTTTCAACATAAACCAAGGAAGGGAAGGAGAAAAATAAATTAGTACCAAGAGGAACATGGGAAGCCAAGGAAGTTTTAGGGAACTGGACTTCCACAGAAAAAAAAGAAAGACGGTATGTGATTTCTGTTTTATAAAATCTATATTTTTGCATTACTGTATTAGTTTCCTATGGCTGTTGTACCAAAGAACTACAAACTAGAATTCTTAAAATAACAGAAATGTATTCTATCGTAGTTTTGGAGGCGAGAGATCCAAAATCAAGTTGTCAGCTGGGCCATTCACCCTCTAAAACTCTGGGAAGGATAATTCCTTGCCTCTTCCAGCTTCTGGTGGAGGCCACCAATCCTTGGCATCCTTTGCCTCGGGCTCCACTACCCCGATCTCTACCTCTCTGATCACACGGCCTTCTCCCTGTGGGTCTGCCTCCACATCCTCTTCCTTCTTTTTTTAATTCTTTTTTTAATTGGAGGAGAGTTGCTTTACGATGTTGCGCTGGTTTCTGCTGAATTACAGTATGAATCAGCTATCACGAACACATACACCCCCTCCCTCCTAAGCCTTGCTCCCCGCCCAGGTCATCACGGGGCACTGAGCGGGGCTCCCTGGGAGTACGGCTGCTTTCTGCTCAGCGGTCTATTGCACACACGCTCGTGGTATACGTCAATGCTACTCTCAGTTCAAGCCGCTCTCTCCTTCTCCAGCTTTATCCACAAGTCCATTCTCCAATCTGGGTCTCTATTCCTGCTCTGCAGATGGGTGCATCAGTACCATTCTTCTAGATGCCATTTATATGTGTTAATATATGATATTTGTTTTTCTCTTTTTGACTGACTTCACTCTGTATAACGGGCTCTAGGTTGCAACCTACTTCACTATGACCTCATCTTAATGATCTCTACTATGACTCTGTTTCCAAATGAGTTATATTCTGAGGTACTGGAAGTTAGGACTTCAATATGTCCTTTGGGAAGGAGGGGAGGACACAATTCAACCCATCATGATTACTAATAGTGACAGTAATATGCTCTACACACCGATCTCACTTAACCTAATAATAACTATCATTCTCCCTCATTTGAAGAGTGAGACTCTTTCACTACAAATCCCTTGCCCCAGGTTACAGAGCTGATAAAGATGGAGTTAAGATTTAAATAAAAACTCTAGAGACTGACTCTTTACTATCAAATTCTATCAAAGGATGTGGTTTATACCATCAATAATCCTTTCGTATTAGCTGGGTTTAATTGTTAATAGGCAGAACTGTAAGAATGATACATTAGATGGGAACATAGGGTGATCTTTAAATACCAATATCTGTTTTGTTGGAGAACAGTCAACACCCTTTAGTCCTCAGACTCTAGGGTTTAAGATTTCACAGTTTAAACAGCTCTTGTGCCCGTGATATAACCTGAAACGAAAGATTTTTAAGATGTCAGATTACTCAAATAGTGCATATGTACACTTGAGCTTTAAAATGTTCACCTACACTTTTTATAAGCCAAGAAAAAACATTTGCTACAAAATTTAAAATACTATACTGAATAGCTAACGAGAACCTCCTATATAGCACAGGAAGAGAAAGGTACAATCTGTTTGCAGGATATATATTAAGTTAAATTAAAAATGCATTCTAATATATAGCAGGTGCCAACAAACACTGTTTGATTCCACTTACATGGGGTACCTGTGTGTGTGTTAGTCGTTCAGTTGTGTCCAACTCTGCAACCCCATGGACTCTAGCTCTCCAGACTACTCTGTCCGTGGGATTCTCCAGGCAAGAATACTGGAGTGGGTTGCCATGCCTTTCTCCAGGGGATCTTCCCAACCCAGGAATCAAACCCCAGTCTCCTGCACTCAGGCAGATTCTTTACCATCTGAACCACCAGGGAAGCCTATTATGCACTAGGCATGGATCAAAAGA